AGTGTGACATTACAATACGTGTATTTCAGTTTTTATCCATGGTTCCTGGCTTGTTCTAACCTTTCCTTGCCTTTCTGTCTTGGAGCTGGTCATAAATTCTCTGACCTACCCTATCTGTTTGTAAGTAATAAGACCCCCATTCCAGAAGGGGTCCTGCCTCATACCCCGGAGGAAGCAATGCTGCACAGGGAAGCCAAGAAGAATCTGAACGAACAGGCTTGCTGCGTTTCCCCACCCATCTATTAGCACTAGATCATACCGTTTTGTCCAATCACATTTCCACATGGTTGTCCACGTTTCACTTATGCCTGTGTAATGAAGCTTCCAGAAAAACCCAAGAGCACAGGGTTCAGGGAGCTTCCAGACAGCTGAACACGTGGAGGATCCTGGAGGGTGGTGCGCCTGGGGAAGGTACGGAAGCTCCACCCCCTTCCCCCATACCTTGCCCTATGCATCTCTTCGTCTGTATCCTTTGTAATTCCCTGTGTAATAAACCTGTAAACATTAAGTGTTTCCCTGAGTTCTGTGAGCCGCTCAATTAAATTAATCCAGCCTAAGGAGGGAGGAGGGGGTTGCAGAAACCCCGGTTTACAGCTGGTCAGTCAGAAGCACAGGTGAAATAATCTGGGCCGTGCACCTGGCATCTGAAGTGGGGGGCAGTCTTGTGGGACTGAGCCCCACTGTGGGATCTGACATTACATCCGGGGAGATAGTTTTGGAATTGAATTAGAGGGCACCCAGCTGGTGTCTGCTGAGGATTGCTTGTTGTTCTGTGAAAGCAGAGGAAACACAGTTTGTGTGTTTTCCCTCCAAACACTAGGTCTGGATGAGGCCTTGGACTCTGTGTTTGAACACACACCCTACCACCACCACCACCGATTCTAATGTGGGTGCTCCACACTTGAGGAGCACTACCTAGGCAAGGGTGTGTGTGTGTGTGTGTGTGTGTGTGTGTGTGTGTGTGTGTGTGCTCTAGTTCAGGGGTTTTAGTAAAGCTCCATGGAGGGCAGGTATGGATCTGCATTGCACATAAACTTCTTGAGACTGGCTTTATCTAGACTTTCATTGTATTCTGTAGATTTCACCATTTGAGCCCAACCTTTATAATTAGGGTGACCAGATACCCATTACAAAGGATCATGTTTCTATGAAAACTTCTGCTCAGCATGTTCAGAAAGCTTTTTGGCAGAAAGTCATTTGTCTCCTTTTTCTGGACCTGGGAACAGGGCTAAGAAGTGTTCGGGCCTTTTCCCAAATATAACTCCTGAGTGTTTGGAGGCTGAGAATCTTCCCTGCCCACAGCCTCCTGGGACTGTGGATGGTCTGCCTGTTGGCCAGAGGCAGTGAACATCCCCAGACTGAAAATGTGGGAAAGATGGTCTCAGGGTTTGCTGGGGGAAATGGAACAGACCCATGTGAAAGAGTCAGACACACAAATGTAACAAAAATAAACCAACGCAAATCCATGCAGCAATATGCATCCCAGTGCAGACGTAACTTTGGACTCAAGGTCCTACATTAAGTCAAAGAGAAATAGGAAGAAATTGAAGGTAAGGTGATAGGTGAACTTGAGAAAGGCCTTCCTGGGGGAGGTAAGCGTCATTCATTTATTCATTCATTCACTCATTTGCTGGTTTTTGTTAAGACTTACAGAGGGCAGGGCTTGACTGGTCACTGACACTGTTACCTGTGCATGAGCACAGCAGACGTCTGCCTTCATGGGGAACACCGTGATAAATGTGCACTGGGGTCGGGGTGATATGGGGGCACCACAGAACGCACAGCATATGGATGTAGTCCAAGTGGGAAGTCAAGGAAGTTCTTTTCAAGAAAGAGGTGTTTTCATCAGGTTACTTTAGGGGCCAGGGCACAAGTGCAAAGGAAGCCCCAACCTATTGGCCTATCCACCCTCTCTTCCCATCCTGGCCGTGTGTGCCATGTGCACCTCAGGCCTCAAGTCCAAACTCCATCTGCATACCACCACTACCCCAGTGCCCCTTGACCAGGCTTTAGGCCTAGGGTTTATGGTCCACCCTTAGGGAGATTGATCCAGATAAAAGGCTCTTGAGGGCTAGAAGTGGGCTTGGGGCTGTTTGGACAGAGGATTTGGGAGGCCTGGGTCTGCAAGGGATAAGTGAGCTAGAAGTGGATACACAGCCTGTGGACATGTGGACATGTCCCCTCCACCCCACAGACTTCTGACTCTGTGGAGAGGGGTACAGCTGGACAAGTGCTGTTGTGGGGCCTTCTGAAGCAGGGGGCTTAGGGCAGGGATCCTGACTACAGGGCCTAAGGGTAGTTCTGCCTAAAGGATGAGTAGAAGTTGGCTAAACACAAGCTAGGGGGATGGGGAAGCCTTCCCGTGGAAGAAACAATCAGTGCAAGATCCCAGAGTTGGGGAAAGCCTGGTTTACTTCCCTAAAAGCAAGGGTGTGGGGCCGGCCCGGTGGCGCACTGGATAGTGCGCCGCTTGGGAAGCGCAGCGGCGCT